TAAGTATTATTCCTTTGTAACTTCAAAACGAATCATATAATGACTGAATGAATAACCTTGAAAAGATCACAATCAATAGAATATACGAAAAGAAGCAACATGAGCTTTGATTCTATGTGCTTCTATAAGTACTTATTACAACACGGCAACTATTTGAGCAAGTCCACTAGATTCAAAGAACGAAAATGTTAGCCATAGTTCCAAGTTCTAGAATGATTAGTCTGCAATAATTCACTTCTATTCTCATTAACTAATAGTCCCACGAAAAAAATTGGCCTTTATATCTTTTCAAGTCCCATCAGGAACTAGAAATCCAATCGATGAACATTATTTCGATTAAATGTACACAAAAAATTATGTCAGAAGTGGGGTTCGAACCCACGCCCTCAATTGAGGACCAGATCTTAAGTCTGGCGCCTTAGACCACTCGGCCATCCTGACCCCATTTTTTATTAAATGACTAGTAATTTACAAGTCAAATTAAATACACTCGATTACCTAACATTATTTTTTTTTGTAAGGCGAAACAAATGAGCACGATTTCCAATGGCGATAAAAATTTGAGTTAAATGAAGTTTAATTTATGATTTCGTTCGTAGATTCACTGAAATCTGTTTGTTCATCACCATCACATGATCAATGATTTGCAATTATTTTCGACTGAATTTTATCGAAAAAATGTTAGATTAAATTTGGGTAAATCAGATATTTTATATATTCCCAAAGATAGAGCTCCAATTAAGGAACAATTTCAGGAAGTAATTTACAAGCACTTGGCCAGATATCTTGGTGACATTTTACAGGGAGCTGAGCTTATACATAAGACGACGGAATGGATCAGTAGCCAGTTGAAACCATTTTAGACTTCGATCATGGCTTTTAGATAACTGATGCTTAGTTTATGATTTGTGCGTTAATTTCGCCGAAATTTGTTGATTTATCACTAAAAATGCATCATTAACAACGCAGAGAAATTACTTTCGCCTGATTTTATCATAAATTTAAATCTTAAATCTTGAAATCTAACCTATTAGAACTCTCGTCGATGGACAATTTGAAGTATTCTATTCAATTTCGTACAATAATTTCATACAATTAACTGTAATTCGTTAAAATTGTTTAACTCTGATTTTGTGTATTTTTTAATTGTCGCCCTCCAGTGAGTATAAATTTAACTTACTGTTTCCTCTATCTTACTCTTCAGCGATGGCTGCAGTTAAATGGCTATCAGGTGAGCCTAAGTTATCAAAACAAATTACACTGAAGAGTTACTGCAGTTACAAAGATGTCAGTTAATTTTTTATAACCTGTTCACTTGAATTTCTCTTTTGTTCGTTTGGCCTCTGATGTTTTCAGATTATCCTTCATGAGGACGTTCAACAGATACCAGTTTCAGTTTCCCTCATTTTGACAGCTGTTCAGGAATCAATAATACCATCGAAATCAATGTGATGGATTTTCGCCGTCATTCGATCCAATCTTTGAAATCTTTGAAATCAGTTAAATCAATCAAATCTTCAAAAGAAGCATCAAACTTATCCAAATGTCTTCTAGCTGGTAAGAATTGGTTTGATACTTATCTGGCCTACCAAAAATCATTGCTACCCGTTGATGAATCTACATTTATTCTTGACATATTACGTGATTTGTTTGATGGGGAGGTGAATGACTCAATTAAATTACACCTTCTATCACTTTTGGAACAATACTTCTGGCTAGTCTCAGATGTTGAAAAGTAAGTCGCTCATTTGATATTTTTTTGATAATTTTTGATAATTTTCATATTTTTTACTCCTCAGGCTAGAACAAACTATCGGATCATTGATAAATGTATTTCAATCTAGTAAATCCAGTGACAGTGTTAAATGTAGATATCTTTATACCTGTACCGTTTTATGGACATGTCAAATCGAGCTTGTGAGTATATATTCTGCATATGTTATACATTTAATTACAATTTTTGTTTCTATTTTTCATTTTAGGTTAATGACTCTCTTGAAGGTTTGCTAAAAAGTTTTACCAAAACATTGGTAAATCTGTTAAATGGTAAAGACAACAAAAATTTGTCAAATGCTGCGTGCCAATGTCTGATTCAATTGGAAGAAACTAGACCGGTAATTAATCTCACCTATCATTGCTTGAACACCTAATAAATCACTAAAAATTATTTCCTTCAATGATACCAGGGAATTATCTTCAGAAATGTTCCAGATGCTACTATTCCTCGAATCCATCCAACTTTGTTGTGCCTGTTATTGAAAAATGGTTCTCAATTTGATCCAACTATAGTTAAGCAACTTATTGGTAGTCTGCCTCGATATAACACGGATCCTTACCGCCTACATATAATATTAAATTATCTATCGGATTTAATGGAAAGCAAGAAACAAGCAACTCTGACTCCATTAGTTTTCAAACAGTTTCTGCCATTCTTCATTCATTCAACTGAGGCATTCCATCTTCATTTTTCTCTTCTACTATTACGATCCTTTGGTCTTGAACTTTTCTCAACAAACGAGGAACTTGGATTACTACATCGTCTAATCAGCTTGTGCACTCACCCATCTTTAATTATTGCTCATCGACTTCTATTCCTTGATTTTGCCAAATCTTTATTGCCAATCTTAAAATCATCTCATCTTGCTGATCCCCATTTATTCGCATTGGGTCCATTTGACGGTCCTGATACTCAAGAGAAGAAACTCATGATTCTTTGTCAAACAGAAATTTCAGATAGTGATTTGATTACATACTTGAAAACAATTGAATCTATCAGCATTAGCCAATCTAATCGCAGAGCAACCAATGCACTCTATCGTCAACTACACTTCTTCTTGACTGTTCGACCAGGATTACAAAATGAAATTGAACCTCTTCTTATCTCGATGATGATGGCCTCTCCTTCATTGCATATCCCATATGGTTTGTGCCTTCTTGATCGACAACCTGCTCTTTCAGCCCGTGTTTCATCCTCTCTTGTTCACAAGCTATTGAATATGACAAATTTGGTTGGAGATGAAAATAAATCTCGTTTGAAAGAATATTTTCTTGCGATAAAATGGATCTTGAAGCAACCAAGAAAATTGTTGGACTCTGACAAAATGCTTGATACTTTAAATTTTTGTTATGATGCAGCGAAACAATTTCCTCACCTATGCAAAGACCTGCTATCCATTATTGCAGTTGTTATCCGGCACCAGACTATTGATGATAAGCTGAAAAGTTTACTTAATGAGATACTCGACATGTTAATGAAAAACAAAAATCGTGTTACTATATCAAGTTGGTCTCAAATTTACTCAATTGCTTTAAACACCTTGCCAAATCAAGAGAATCTGAGAAAAGTTTTCTGTGAAGAAATTTCTGACGATGACAACCTTCCTTTAGTAGTTGTTGATCCTAAATCAAATTCAATTCCATTGACAGTCCATGAGATTAAATGTACATTGGAACCTGTTGAGGTGGACTGTGAATTTTTAGCAATTCCTTATACTCTAAAAGTTTCATTTAACAGTGGAACCATGGACGAAGATATTATGTCAAAATTATTTGGTATTGAGCTTAGATTATCCTGTCCTATTCAAGAGATTGACACTGTGATCAATATCCCTTGCCTTGGAAAAGATGATTTTAAAGTCTTTCAGCTTAAACTATCTCCAATTCGTGTAAAACCATTTACTTTAAATTTGGACCTTCGTTTTGGTGATATCAATGGCGTCACATATTGTTGCCCACAATTTACCAGCGAATTTTTTTCATTTGATCGTTTTATGATTCCCGTCAGGTGCTCAGAAGCTCAGTTTGACAAACAATGGAATTTTTTGATAAAGCAAGTGCAGTGCCATCTTACTGTCCAATGTTTTCGCAATTACAGCGGTCTTGATCAATTCTTGAATGACCATGAAAATTTTAAAAGCTATGAAATTGCACCCGGTAAATTTGTGATTGGAGTTGTTCCAAACAAGATGTTACTAATCCGATCAATTGTTGTCAATGGAAATCTTAACTTTCGTATGCTCACTAATTTGGACAAAATTTTAAAATATTTGTATTATCAGTTCAAACAGAACAATTAGAAGAGAAAATATGAATGTTATGCAAAAAAATACAAATATATCACAAATTGCATCCAAATAATTGCACTATCAAATCATCATTCGAATTGTAAATTTTCTATTTTATATTGTTAATGTTTACTTTGTCTCATCTTTATCAAGGTTTTATACATTAAATTTGTCTATCGTTAAAGCAAATTGTGATTCCCATTGATTGTAAAACCATTTTAATGCAATTATTTCTTATATTACGGAGTAAGTGCATTGATTGGTATCTTTGTAACAAGTTACAATTTTGTCATTAAATTTGAATTGATCAAACATGAGCACAATTTTTGCCATTTTTTCTTATAAAAACGCGTTCATTAAAACATGACAGAAATTGAGTGTTACTGATCCAATCCAAGTCAGAAAATAACATGGAAATAAGGAAAGAGACATCAAGATTAAAAATCAAATTTGGCCCGATTTTCGAGTCAAAATTCGGCATTTTATTAATATTCAAATTTTTATTACTGAAAACCTCAAAAATTGATTTGTCAGATATTTTTTTCTGGAGCAAAACATTAACAATATTTCGCCTTTTGTTAATAAAAACCATGATGATACCAAAAAAGAGGATTGAAGAAAGTTATTGAGCAGCAATCGGAAGAGAAAACGATATTCTGATTTGAACTACTGGCTTACATGATTAAGAAATTAGACTGTTCATGATGAATCATTCTCTTGTTAATCTGCTGGATCGTTTTCAATCTAGAAATGTTTCCTTTCATGTTGTTTTGTAAAAGAAGAAAAATAAAGTAATAAAAAGAGCAACAAAGTAAATAAACAAAACATAAGAATCTTTAAAAATTATATAAAATCAAATAATTACATAGATACATGAAAACTTTGATTTACTCAAGCTTAGCTAATTCATATTTAGAATCATAACGATGAACAGTTGATTCAAGTTTCAGTAAACAAATTTTCTCGTTCATTTCAATATCGATGGCTTTGAGATAATGAAAAACTTGGAAATCATCAAATTATGATAAAATCACACTAGAAGATAACTTGAACAAGAATATAATTGATTCTTGACTGCCTGAGCAAATCAAAGATTTTTATAAATAAATAAACAAATAAATAATTATCAAGTTAAGCGTTTAAATTAAGTAGTAAATTTAGAAGACCAACGGAATTATTGAGATTCTGGTTCAGTGAGGTTGTATTTAGATTGACAAAAAGTAGATCACATTGGTTCCATTGATTTTTCACCATTTACAGATGTATGCATGGATTAATTGAGAGATTGTAAATTAACCATTGTTAATTCGTATGGCCAAGATGTTTGAAGACTAAACAGGAACATCGAAAGGTAAAAAATATTGGAAATTGGTAACAAGGTTTTCCATTCCATTAATCGTTTGCTTGATTGATGAAGATATAGTTTGCCATGAAAATATCTTCAAAGAGTGACAATTTGCATGGTTCTCAAATGGACATGCTGAGATGTTGGTAATGGTGATGAAAATTAGATGTAGAGAAGCTATGGAATTTTGAATCATCTTGTTGTTGTTCTGTAGCTTGATTACAGATATTGTTTTTAAATAGCAAATGTAATGATTGATGAGGACGACGATAAATAATTTAAATGAGCAGTGCGTCGAATGGTCAGTACACCAATCCCTTAATCATTTTACTTGGCAGCAAAAATTTGCGTTAAAAATTACATCCAATTTATTCGAGAATCCCAAATCCTGGTTAGTCCTTAATCAGGCTAAAAATAGATTGAATTATCATCAATCGATGGTTATCTTTGTTGAAAAACAAAAAGATGAAACATTGAAAAGAGATTCCGGTGAGCAGCAGTAATTAATCAACTATGCCAAGGCTTTATATAAGTCAACTTTTGTAATCGGAGATTGTCTTGATTGTTTTCTGATTGCTCCCAAATTGGCTGGGCTAATCATCACCATAATTATTGCTATCAATATAAATTGAGTTCAACTATTAACTCCAAGTTGACATTGGCCAAAATGTTTCACCAAATAATTTAGAAAAGGCAATGTCAGTTACTTAATCGCAGCAAAAATCAATCATTTGTCCTCTGATGTCACTTTACAGATTCCTTTGTTTCCACATAGACTCTTCTAGATTTTCAACTTGTTAATCATGAAAGTGTTATTTTCTTTGTAAGCCCGGCTTTTTGTTAAACTTGTTAATCATTTTCCTTTCCAGTTTTCCCTTCATTGTTTGCAGAAGTGTTTTAATTGGTTAAAAACTCTGGTCCAACCCGATATCATCGATCCTGGTGATAAACGGTTAGGTTAGTTCTGGTTTCTTTCCACTGGATCTATTTGAGCCATGAGTCTTGGTTGCTAATATTTTTTGTTAACTACCATTTGGTTTGATTGTTATTCGTTCAAGATCATCTGATTAACATTATAAATCGTTATTGCTCCTAATCAGGTGTTAAATTGTTGGTTAACAATACTAGATCTTATGTACATAAATTCCACCATTTCTTTAAACCTGGTATCAAAAGGACAAAAAGAGATGAAAAAGAGATTATCAGCGGAGATGAAAAAAGGACAAAAACCATCAGGTAAGCTTTTTGTGATTCCTCCAAATGCTTAATGATCCATTTAACTGGTCATGTAATTTGTTTTGCGTAGATTACAATCCAGCCAACTCTTCATTTAACCTAACCAATATTCATTTAAACAAGATGAAGCCATGATGTACCTTAGAAGAGAGGTTGGAAAAATAATCTTACTGGCAACCTTACATCCATTAAGCACAATCAATAATGCTATCTAATATTTATTCTGTGATTCATGCGATAAAATAATATTTTTAGTATATGACAGTAGAAGATGACATTCAATTGATTTGGTTGATGAAATTCATCAATACCACATCTATCTATCTTCGAACGAAATAGAATGAACCTTTTTTGCTTCCTTAACAATCACCATTAACATCATCAGATTATCCTCTTTTCACAGTGCTTCAAACATCATTATCTTCAACATAACATTATATTTACCCTTTTCTCATTCTTTTTTTCTTCTTTTCTTTCCCAGGTAAGCAAAAAAGAGCAACTACAATTTGGACTTATTACTTGAAAAAAATGAACCTTCTTTCGGCGATTTATCTACTCTCATGCATTCATTAGATTCAACATTGGTTATGTTGAGAGTAACCTGGCAAATATTTAATTTGAACTAATTTAGCTCATTGGGAACCAAGTGAACAATTCATCAAACTGATTTATTTATAAAGACAAAAATGAATTCTTGCACATCTTTACCCCAAAATTAAGTTATTTACAACTCAACAATCATGAAGATATTATGAAGATGCGAGCAATGAACGGAAAATTAAATAGCAACGAGTAAAAGCTAGAGACGTGATAATTAAAAAAACGAAAAGGGAAATTCGTATTTCATTAAATGTTACCCTGGAAATAATATCAAATACAGTCCAAGTGGAAAAGAAACTCGAAATCGTACATCTTACATCAACAATTCAAAAGTGAATCAATGAAAAGGACTGTTGTGCCGGGATATTGAACAGTCTGAACTCGAAAGGAATCGACAAATAATCAAAATCAAAATTAGAGTATGGCTGATGGAGAGGAGACTGACAAGTGTGATAAATGGTAAACCCAGAAAAGGATGACAAAAATACTGAGTGTTTTGATCTTTCATTGTTGATTTAATTATGATATAAACTCTCAAACTTCAATCGAATCATATTACATTTATCAAAATTTAATTCACGTTTTATTGATTAAGTGTTACTCATTTATTTTCACAGAGATGATGATAGTATTTAAAAGGATGGCCAGAAAACAGAGGACTGTCAATGAACCAGTAATTAACATGACAAGAAGGAAACTATTTTATTCCTGAATGAATAGTTAATCTCGACAAGGGAATCTGACCCTGATCCAAGACACTACATGGAAATGGACCTGATTTCAACCTAACCATGACTTGATCGGTTCGTTAGCAATTATCAAACTGTTTGCTCTGACTGTTGGTCAAAAAGTCTGTCGTTTTTCATCCAGATGCTGAGATCAATTTTCTTAATCTCAAGAGTAAATTTATTCATTAACAGTTAATTGGAGAAACTCTTTGACTAACCGGCTGTCCGTTCAAATGACCAAACATTGCATCGATTAAGTCAACTATTATTACAGCAAAAGGAAAACTCGTTCATTTCATCTGATCAACCTGCAATTTTGACTTCTATTAATCATTGAATCCCTAATAACCAGTTGAACCAAACACCATTTAATATCGCAAAGGAAAGCAGAGTTGAAACATTTGCTTCCATAACTTTACGCTCCAATCGTCTTTCAATCAAATCAAACGGTCGTTACCTTTATCAGGTGCAACTAGATTATTTTAAATGGTGGTAAACATTTCATGTTATTAGCCTGTTATGAGCACATCAATAATCTTGTCAAGTAATCTATGAATGTCAACCAGCCTGTCAAAAGTCAACAAAGCTTTGCTTGGTCAAGTTTGTCAAAAGTAAAAATTGAAAGTGATGATCAGGTGATGGTTAAAAAAATGGACAACTATTGTAAAGATGAAACGATATGGCAAATCGAGGAAAATATTTGCAACCAATTTTCACCAGCAATTCAATTTCATTGAATATTAAACTTCTAGATATCTGGATGCTTTCAAAATATCGAGTAAGTGTTAACTACATGGAGCTAATTGATTTACAATGTGCAATAATTTAATCAATCTACCCTTTTCCTATTTTTGTGTCTCTTTTGCTAATTTAGGCTGAACTCAGCTGTACATTCCATTCAACTCATTACAGTTGAAATTGTCATCAGGATATAAACACAAGTAATCTTGAGACGATAATTATAATATGGTAATGAGACGAGAAGTAAAATGATGCAAGATGAAGTACATTTATTAATAATACACAAACGAGGTAAGATGAGATACTAATTATTATTTAATTTTCTCATGATATCATTTTTAATAGAAATAAGAATAACAAATTATCATAGAAATAAGCTGATTTTTTGGTTTCACCTTTTTTTTCTCGACTGATCCTGCTAAGAATGACAGACTAACCCTACTGCTACTGGTAACATTACTACTACTGGGTGGCTGTTTGCATCACTTGATTCTGAATTTATCTTCTCTTTTCTCATTGTTTTCTAGATCTTTTTTTCTCTCTTCTCTCCTATTTTCCATCTTCTCAGATTATTTACCTTCTTGTCTCATTCTTTTCTCAACCGTGAATCCATGGTAACTCAGGCGAGTTAAGAAGATAAGATTTTCTGGTAGTAAGAAAAACCTTACTTTCTTTACAGCATTTCCCTCTTCAAGCCTGGTAGCTGTAAATCTTACCAACTTTAACTACAATTCTCTTGATATGAATCAACACTGCATTCATCTTTATCTTCACCAAGCTTTTGAAACTCATCTTCTTCATATTCTCCGCTCTTTGCTTTATATTATTTCAGAAGCACCTTTTTTTCCCCACTCAACCTCTTTGGGTTTACCTATTTGTCTCTATTCAACTTCTTTAGACGTAGACACTCACACAGACATTAATTACAGTTGATCAAGGAGGACAACCGGTTACAATTTTAACAAGTAACATATGAATAAGAGTCTGAAGAGTAATGCAAAAGGTTACAATTTTGATATTTAAAGGATCAATAGAGAAGAAAGCTGGAAAAAGAGAGCAAAATAATCAATTGGAGAATGAAAATTGACAGGATAAATAAGCCATAGGAGAAAATAAGAAAAGTGAATTAAGATGGATTGATAATGGTAACCAGAATAAGAATCTAAAACAAGACCAAAAGAAATGCTAACATTCTAATACCAATCTTTTTCTAGTTAGCTTCAATTTAGCTACATTTTATTACAGGGAACACACACCAAAATAGACGATTAAATTGACATTTGACCTTATCTTTCTTTTCTCTCCACAGAAACATCTAAAGAAAGCATTTGGAAAAGGGATTTTTTACACTATTAGATGGAAAGAGAGAGAGCAAATTCAAGAAGAAAAGATTCCAAGAGATAAAAGGAACCGAAAAGATATCTTGAAGCAACAAACAGAAGAGACTTTCAAAGGTGTTCAATGGTACAAAAAGTTATGTCAAAGGAAAAATTGAAGGGATTGGAGGAAAAAAGAAGGAGACGGAAAAGAAAAATTTTGATGAATAGTAAAGGCTATGAAACTAATACGCAGAAGAATATTTATCATGGAAAAAAAAGAATAACATTCCAAGGAAGACGCAATCTCAATGAAATTTCCAAAAGAATGATATGAACAAAAAAAGAGTTTTCCATTTCTTGCAAAGGTTTTCTCCTGCCTTAACGTCATCATCATCAACATCAGTAACATCATCAGCATCATCTTTTATTATTCAGCAGAGAAGACAAATTTTTCAAGAGTAAAGTTTCATGTTCACAGAAGAAGGAAAAAAAAGTATATTCATATACATGTTATACTCGATTGACGAGGGTAAAGAAACATGAAGATGAGCAAGGAAAAAAGAAGAAGAAGAATATGGAAAAAGCAAGAGAAATATAATGGCAATAGTAACTCACCGAGAACATCAATAGACAATTGCATTTCATAACACGTTTTTTTTCGCTTCAATATTTTCCTTACTCAGTTTTGTATGTTGATTCAACTAAAATAACATCTTTGTACAGTCTTTGTCTTTACCTTTCAACTCTGTTTGTACCTCAGTTGAGGTCAAATTTGATTGCTAGATTTAGCAAGTTAACAATTTGTTTATTGTAATGTACTGAAAGACAGACACACAGGTTTATAGCCAACAAAACGCTTCTTATTGCTTGTATACACACACAGAGAGACACGTACAAACATTAGCATTGAAATTTATTTAAACATGAACAAAACTTCATCTCTTGATGTGTAAAAGGTTGACAGGGAAAGATTTAAATTGAATGTCAAGTCCATTGATTGTCAAGGAATTAGATGCAAGTAAAATTGGTTGTATTCCTGTAAATTGTAAGTAGCAAAACAGGGGAAAAGGTTGAAATTTGGAGGCAAATATTATCATTGAAATTATGTGAAGTAAAATTGGTTGAAACAAGAGTCTGGTAAAAGCAAGAGTCAAGTCCTTTCAACCTTTGTCTTGTTAAATTAAGATGACAATAAAAACACTTTAAGTCTATTATCACCATTAAAGAAGCATCATTCGATTTCAGGTTAAAGGTTATTGTTATTAAGATTGTAGTTGTTCAAGATTATTGTGAACATCTTATAATCATTTTGGGTACCTTTTTGCTTTTCCCATTTTCATCTTCATCTTCATTTTCTCATTCCTTATTTTTCTCTTTGCTTTTTTTTGCTTCTCGTTCACCGTCCTTTTATTTTCTAATTCCGAGTAAAACATCAAACCAATTAGATGGTAAATTGGTCCCAAGGTATCAATTATTTTAAGGAAATCTGAGAAGTTTCATCAACATCTTTTAAACTTGACGTATGAAAACAAGTGTATAATAATGGCGAGAAAGAGTCGAGTTATAAATGAGCCTAATTAACAGAATTATCTTTCTTTTGCTTCTTTTCTTGTTGATAATGTATAAATTAAAAGACACACCATGAACACGATATTATGACAACAGCTTTTTAAACACTATTAAATAATCACTATGCACAATCAGTAACATTTTGCTGTTAACCCAAATTTTGTGAAACCAGAAAATGGTGATACATTTCAATTAAACCCAAATCACATTAACTAGTAATTAAGCATCAAAAAATATTTTGCCACTGGTAAATGAGAGGGTTAAGGTTTGAGCAAATTTACATCAAAAAATATTAAACAAATAGTGATTAGAGTGGTGAAAATAATGAGAAAATTAATTACCACCAATGATCATCATTTCAGGATTCAAGGGTTCAACATTTATGGAAGAGGGAAAATATTTTTGGCTCCAACTTTGAATTTTGGTTAACCAAAGCTTTAGATTGCCTTGAAAATCATTACAACCATAATTTACTTAGAGTAATTAACCTAAAAAGTCTTGATTTGTTTAATTTAATTAACCAATTTCTCTATTCAATATTTGAAACAGTTGAATGTTTTAGATGGAAATTTTAAATGGCAAAGATTTACGGGTTTCCCAGGTTAACCAGTTGGTAATGTTAAGCTATTGGAAGCAATGATCATTTGGCATTTGGAATATCACAGAGAATCACAATTAGGGTTAACTATTAATTTGTTTATTAACCAACTTACAATTATCTTAGGCTTGGATGAATTGAGACCAAAATAATAAGGTAATCCATTGAAGGAAAGTGTAGCTGTGGTTGGAGTTGAAAACCGTTGTAAAACAATCTCTGAAGAAGAAGAAGGATTTCCAAAATTTTTTTGAAGTATGGCACTTATGGAGCTATTAACTAAACTTGGTACTCGGCTTTCCTCATATCTTAATTAATTAATTGTTATTAGATCCAGAAGAAGATGAAAAACAATTAGAAACATTAATTAATGAGACCAATATATTCCCATAGAGATTGAAACAAAGCAGTAACCAAGAGAGCAATGGTAACCAATGTAACCACCATGGAACCCAAAAGCAGCAGCAGAAGAAGAGAAAAAAGAAGAAAAGACAATTTTAATTATTATCACAATCAGAAAAGTTGATTAATAGTAAATTTGATTAATAAAATGCATTGTAAAAACAGCAACAATAAAAGACAATAAAATTAAACAGAAAATGGAAATAAAAATTTGAAAATCAATGAAAGCACAAAACGGTTATTTTCAGCAGCTGATTATGCTTTTTATGCATTATCCATAGAGCATAACATAAAGCTATTTCTAACAATTATCCCTATTAAAGCAAAATTAAATGTTTAAATTGAATTAAAAGCAAGATAATTAAAGTGCGATTAAAGATGATAGTGTTGTATCAAATAACAATCTTACCAAGAAGCTTTCCCGGAGTACCTAAATTACAGATATCCTTTGATTCTGAATCAATCATGTAAGCATGCAAACAATACAAACACAGTTAATAAAGTAAGGAAAAGGCAAGACAACAAAATGAACCTAATAATGTTCAATCCCAGTAAATAGCAATAAAAATGATTAACTGATTATCAGATAAAAAAGTAAGAAAATATTGAATAACTTTCAAAGGCAAACACTTGATTGGCAAAATAGTCAAATTTGGATTTAAATATTTGCCAATATTTTCAATGAATATTATAAAATCAGACTAAACTCAGCAGGAAAAGTTTCAATATTTCATTCACAATTCTGTAAATCAATTGAATAAACTATTATTTAAATAGAGAGAAGAAAAAAGTTATTCAAGAAAAGGATTTAAATTGAACTCACGGATTTATGAATTATATAGTTGAAGGTATAAACCTGATTATCAACTGAATGTTCAACTAATTTCCAATGTCTAATTCAATTAACATTTGATAAGTTTATTGAAACTGAGTCGATAACAATAAAACATTCAAGAGTTATCATAAGCTCAAAATTTATACATTTTTTGTATTTCAATTCAATTTGAAATGTAATCTTTTAGCTTTTTCATCCCATTTTGCTGAGCATTTCAGAGTAAACCGAGAAAACAATTTTCACATTCAATATCTGTTATCAGATGAAAGTATTCAATTGAGAAAATATTGATTTCAGGAAGGAAAACAGAAGAAGATGCAAAAATGAGGAAAACGATTGGAAACAAAATAAGATTTAATTGTTCAATTACCTAATTTTCTGTTGAATTATCATCAATTGGTTAGCATGGAAGGCAAACAGGGAAGAATAAGAAATGTTAGTTAAAGATTAACAATCAGAATTGACTTTGTTTCAAGATTTCAAAGGATAACCATTGTTCAGGAATCTTTTTTTTCCCTGAAAAGACGTTTTCAATTGAAACAAAGAGTTGAAATAACTAATTGAAAAATGTGAATAAAAATATCAACTTTGAGTGTTGAGTTGAAATTGAAAATGATATTCGGATGTGAATATATATTTATAAATATAATTTATAATTCTGATTCTTGTTCATTTTAAATTAAAAAAATTACGAGACAAAACAAAATGTGTTTAGCTAATGATTTGATGAGAAACGAAATGTGTTTTGTTGATGAAAAAAAAGAGTAAAAATGATAAACGGAAATAAAAGCGTAAAACCGGATCTCAACTGATCTAAATTTTGACTCAATTTTGAGCAACTTTCAGTTGAATATTACCATTGAAATGAGCCAACAAAAGAGGTTATTTTAAGTTTAAAGGTCAAAGGTATTGTTACCATGTCATCCTTTTCAAGTCAATTGTTTAAAGTAGTTGTTCAATTGAAAAGCGTTAATGAGAAGCAAAACTTACGACTTAAGAGGCATTGGACTTCCAGCTTGTGAGCTTTGACCATTGGCTACATTCATTATTGGACAGGTTACCATTAAATAGGCTGAAATGAGAGATTAAAAGGTTAACATGAAACATTTGAGTTTGGAAGAAAATTTTCATTTCTATTTTTAAACTTTAACCTGGCAACACAACTATCATTTATTAGCAACGAAAGTTGAGGTAAAGGAGTAACGATAACTTTTGGGTTCATGTAAAATTACCTGAGGCTTCAATTTTGAGAGGTTGAAAGGTAAACAAAATTGAATTGGGCCAAATTAAATGAAAATATTACAACATATTTGTTCATTTTAATTTCATCAAACAATTGTCCATCAATTTTCAAATGTCAACTCAACCATTGTTTAGAGCATTAAATTGATCAAATTGCGTTTCTAGTTTTGTTTTTTATTTTCAGTTTCTAAGGAATCGATTTTAACTAAATTAATTTGTGAATGTTTTAACTCAATAAATGTAAAAATCAGTGAATATGTTTTTATATTTAAAATTTACTATTTACTTTCTGATCAATAGAGAAAATTTGAGTTTAACATGAAAAAATAAAATTCCCTCCCAGGTTGAGCTTGGAGTGATAACCAAATAAGTTTGCTTTTCAAATGTTGGTTAAAGACGAAACTTGATAAAACAAATAACTGATCAAGATTAAAGTGCAAAGAGATTCAATTTGCATCGATTAAAGTTTAAAAAGTTATTCCTTCGAACTTTTCATCTTACAAAAAAAGTCGAAATTTTTGGGTTTAAAGGATTTTCCAATTTTTAATGCTAAAGTTTGTTTTTGAATGTAAGGTTTTTGTCCTTAAAAAGTCTGTCAAGTGTTTAAGGTTTTTTTGGTGAAACTATTCAAGTTTAAGGTGAATGTTGAGGTTGAGTTTCAGTTGAAAAAATGAGCGAACTTAATCGATTTACCTTTTTCTGCTTTGCGTCTTTTCCGTTCATTACATATCTTAACTGTACAAACTGATAATACTATGGCAGCGATAAAGAAGAGGATTCCTCCAACAACTCCAGCAGCAATTGCTTTATCCTTTGAGTGTCTAAAGTTTCCCCCTGAAAATGAATTTTACAAAATGACAATTAATAAACTTACAAAACGTTTACCCTGGAAAGAAAATGATTAATCAATTGAAACAGACAACGATGACAAAAAGGTAAAACCAGAAAAAATGAAAAATTTCATTCTTTTCAAATAACTGACAATTGAAACAGATTTGAAACATTGATGAATGGTAAAACCAGTTTAAAATGGTTCCATGTTTTGTATGAGAATGGGTTCGAGTAATGATCAATGTTGAATCCAGGTATGATGATCATGGATAAGTTATCGTTGGACAGGGAAAATTAGAAGGATTTACTCAAAAGATTAACTGTTGGATGGAAATGGGAAAAGTAAATGTTCATCTTGTTCATCGTGTTTGCTTAGGTCAAGTGAAGGTTTGATTTAACCTGAAGTTGAAGCAATGATGAAAAACTGGTTGAAAAAAGATGAGAAAAATGAAGATGAAAATAACAATTACCAAGATTTTCACAGAAGATGAATAAAAGCAATCAAGGATGAAAGTCAATGAGAGATGATGATTATGATGAGGATCAAGAATGATAAAAATAAGATGAGGATAAAGTGGTGAAGAGTTTTGAAAAGGCAAAAAATCAAATTACTTTGGTTAGTTTGAGATGGATTTAAGGATCATTTTTATCCATTTCAAAGATTGCGACTTTTGCCAACTTTCGTTCAACACTTATCGCAATTTCAGTTCAATATCTATTTCATGTTCCATCAACATGATGACAATCATAAATGATCATGAGAATGGCAATTTAAACTGGAAAATATTTCATTCTCACCTTCAAACAATTAAATTTTTCAACATTTGATTGGTTTTGATGGAAACACTTTTTTCGCCTTTCAATTTATTCATTTTGAATAATTTGTTTTTTTTCTCAGGGAAAAGTGTTTCAGGATTGATTGAAAACGCCAGATGAAAGAGTTGAACAAGTTGAACAATCTGTAAAAGTATGAAGAGAAACCAATTGAATGTGAAAAGTCGACTGAAAATCCTTACAAGTTGCAATTGAACGAATCTTTCATTTATTTTCTTACCTTTTCTCAGTCAACATTTGAAATGCAAAATAGTTTACTGAAAGTAACAACAATTGTGTAAAATAATCGCAGCAAATGCCATCAACAGTCAAAATCATCTCAATAGTTGATCAACTGAAAGTGTTTCAACAAGTTGAATGAGAAACAAGTTCAAGCGTTTTCATCTTAAATTATTCATTCAATTTCAACAAATCTTGAGATGTTTTTTTGTTAATTGATTCAAGTAAATTACAATCAACATTAAAGGATAAATGATGAAAACAAGGTTAAACTCTAATCAAATTAGCAAATGATTTGCATTTAATTTGAATTGGAAAATTTTTAGTTAAAGAAAAGTGGAAAAATTCAATTGAAAAGTTTGCATGCAATACCTTTTGTTTACCAAGAAACAAGGTAATTCCAAGTCAACCTTGATTAACTAATGAAATGGAAAAGATTATTTGGAATGGAAACTTGACCAGAAAGTAGAGACATCATGGAAAGAGAAAAAAGAATCGAAGAAAAAACTTTGAACAAAAAATTCCGAAAATAATTCTTCTGTTGGAATGAATGGTGAAAATGTTGTCATGAGTTTGATGAGTTTACCTTGCAATTGATGTTGAAAGGTAAAGTAAAAGAGACTCATTTTTGGTTCATTTCATGGTGTTGCGACTTTTGGTTGTTTCTGCTCTCAGACAATTCCAACAGATAATAAGATGTTGATAATTTTTTTGATTGTGATTCACTTTGATACTTATTGTGATCTCATCAATACCATTCAATTCCTTGTTATTGTTGAGTTTTATTATTTGAAATCAATTCCATTCTAGTCTGCCTTTTCCATTGAGGTTATACACATGAGAAACTCATGTTTCAATATGTTGAACCAAGCGATCACAAATCAAACAGAATAAAAATGGACCTCAACAACTGGCTAAATTCAATTTCAACCTTCAATCAATTCAGAGTTTTACCTCTTTTATTCATCATCATTTCAACACACAAAACCAAGTGAATAGTGAACATGAAATATGAACTTTCAACAAGTTCATACCAACAAACCTTCCAAACTTCGATACTTTTGTTCCAATCAAAGTTGACAATCAACAGCAAAACATGATAATGATCTCAATCACAGTCAACATTAAACTTGAAAAGTTGATTTCAACAGAAACGTTCATTTTCTTTTCAACATTCAATCAAACTTTTGCAAATTCAGCTGAAAACAATTGAAATTTTAATCTTTTGCTGACTCGAAACATCGAAAAATCGGACAATTCAAATAAACGAAAATTACTTTTCATCCATTCCCTTGCAATGAGGAGAAAAGATGAAAAACTTTTCCGAAAACTTGCAACTTATAATTCGCTTGATTCCAACACTGAATTCCGATTCAATCCTTTAAGTTGTTCTTGGACAATTAACAGATTTTCAAAGTTAATTTCAAAGGTAGTTTCGATAAAAAGATTCAATTGTTTAATGATGAAAATGAATGAAAGGAAAAGGTGAAAGGATTAAAAATTTAAACTATTTTTTGATGTTAAGTATTGAAAATTGGAAAATTGGTTTGAAATTAATCATGTAAACGAGTCGATAATTGGCTTTTCAATTCGCTTTCCCATTCACCCTGAAAAGTTAAACTCAATGAAGGAAGTAAAAGAACAAGAGGAAAATCTATTTTTAGAGTTGACCTCATTTCACTTTTCACCATGTTTATCATGGTATATTTTGACATTTGATCGTCTCCATCTTAACTCTTTTCATCATCTCACACCATCTTCATCCAATCACATTATCAAAGCGAAAAACTGGAAAACTTTATATTAGTAAATTGTTGGGAAAAGGAAAGAAAAATGGTGAAAAGAGGAGAAAAAAAAAGTTCTGAACAAAACCAGAAAATATTCTGCTTCTTTTCACCTAACATTTACTTGGAAAGAAACTTTGAAATTGGTAAATTAACTTGAATATTATTGAATGGAAAAGTTGAAAGATTGAAATATTTTGCCATCAACAAAACATCGATATTCCGATGAACATCCAATGAACATGAAAGATAAAAATAACATGAAAAACAACATGAAAGGTAACATCAAGAATCAGAGACAACATTAAAGACAAAAAATGTATCGATAATGAATTGAGAAAAGTGACTTGGAACAATTTGGCAAAAATTTTCTTCTAATATTTTTCATGAGAAGAAAACTTTGACATTCAATTTTACATGAAAAGTTACGGCCATTAAGATGAAGCTAAATTTATCACTTTTACCTCCCACCATTTTGATATTTTTGCCTTTTCATAACAAGTCAATCGTTATCTCATCATGAGGTTGAAGGCAGACTAAAAGTTGAACACAATAAATCTATTTCAAAAACAGCATTTTCACGCAAAGTTAAGGTTTTCATTGAGCGAAGAGGAAAAATTTTCTCACAAAGAAAATTTTCTCTTCCATGTAACTAATATTTGATTATAATAATAATACAAGTGATAACATTGAAAGTCACACAATTCACCTTTAAATTATCATCATTCATTCAAGCTGATTATTTGAACGAGAAAAGTGCAACTGTGAGCAGAAAAAAAAGTAACAGTTTTTATGCTTCATTCAAATTCCCATTCATCCTTTTCCTTTTCTTCTCGTCATTATTTTCACTTTTTTTCATCCACAATTGACACTAGCATGGGTTACCAAGGAAACTTGTTTTTTTATTCATAATCTTTTTTTGTGTGTCTGTGTTTGCTAACCAATGTATTATCATGAAACCAAAATTGCGTGAATTTTGTTGACCATGAAAAGCATCAATCATTTCGCTTAATATGTTGATGAAGAAAATGCTTCAGTTTTTTCCTTCTTCTTCTTGTCTCAAACATCTCGTTGTTCATCACCCTTCTGGTGCTATTCATGTATTTTTATCTGAATCTGCTTTATTTGCCATTCTTCTATCATGATGAACGTCAGAATTGGTGAAAAGTAGTAAAAATGAATTATTTACCAACAATGATATTGTTGACTTTTTTCAGCTATTTTGTTGCCAACTTCAAATCAGATGATTGGTAAATTAGCATTTATGTTGATCTTTTCATGGTTTCAGGAATAATCATGTTCGAGATTCGATAACATTGTTTCATGTTTACCTTTTCACTTAATGTTTTAAACACTATTCAATCATAAACATCATTTGAAATCTTTTGTAAAAAAGAACTGAGAAGATAATTTCGGGAATGAAAATTTTCATGAGAAGAGCATGTTTTTAAAACTGAACAATTTTGCTTCAGTAACCAGTTTTAATTGGAAAAATCTTCATAGAATTGATTCTTTTCTAAGATTTAAATTTTTGATCAATTGAAATCTTTTGAGTCAAATGACGAATTTGAGAATAAGAATTTTCGATAAAATGAACTCAAAGAATAGGTTTTCGTCGAAATTCTGATTTTGCAAAAAATTTTCATTAACGAGTTTTGATTGAAAAAATCTGTTCAGAATTTATTGAATGATTTTCTTCTAAAATTTGATTAGACCTTTCTTCAGCATAAAACTGAAGCTCTTTGCCATGAAGATTTCAGCTCCATTGGAACGAATACATTAGAACAAAATCAACTGATAAAGTTGAGGTCATCGTTTCAATTGATTTGATCATGTTATCAAGTATTGAACTTGGAGTGAAGTCAGTATGTTTTAACACAAACTGTGATTCTGCAAATGACTTGACTCCAAGTGAGAAAGTGATGGATAAAGAAAATGTTTACCTGGAACTTCATAACGAATCTCTTCACTTGGTTGACCAGCACCAAGAATTGAGTGAGCAAAGACTCGAATTGTATAGACATCACCAGGTTTAAAAGTTTTAACTAAACAGCAGAAAATGGCAAAAAGAATTTATGAGTTTAAATATTTTTTCACTCCCAGTGAAGACAAACCTAAATAAGAAGTTTCCTTGGCAATGGGTCCCCATATCTTCCAAGCTCCTGCTCCTGATCCGGAGCCAATTTTATATTCAATATAATAATAAGCGACTGGAACTGTTTTATTGGCCGGCGATAGCCATGAAATAGCATGTCCTTGAGCAACTCGAGTAACAGTCACATTCCGAGGTGGACCTGGCTTGGGTCCTGTTGAAGGTTCAGTTGGAGGTTCAGCAGATGATTTCATGTCCTTCTCATTGGAAGCCAAAGAGTTTTGAATATCACTTGCTTCTGTTTGTTTGTTTACAGTTTATTGTCAGTGACGGTCAAAAAGTCAAAAATTAAATAACCATTAATTAACCTCTCAACATTCAATTGAAATTCATCTCAATAGACGGTCAAACATTTGACCAAAAAAAAGAAGCTAAATAAATAACAAAACATGCGTAAACTGAATCAGTTTTCATGCAAACAAACAAACAAAGAGCAAAGTAAACAAAATGCAAAACTTTTCGCAACCAAAATCGTTTAAATTGAAGCTTGGCTCAAAATTCATGCAATAATTAAAGGTCAAGATTCGAGAAATTGACCGAAAAATAAACTCATCAAAAGTCAAAATAAAAATAAAAAAACTCCAAGCAAAGATATCGATATTAAGTTTCGAATTAGGTGATAAAAGAAAAAGAAAAATTCTGAAGCTTATCATGCATGAGCCAAGCAATTCTTTTGGAACAATGAAAAAGTAAATATTTTTACCGGTCGATTTGAACACTGAAGGAATATAAGTTGACCCATAACCATCGGTCGGCATTCCTTGGCTATTGGTAACGTCCAGAACTGAAAGAAAAAGTAAAATGTTGAAGTAAATAAAAGAGAAAAAAAAATGTCGACTCATTAGAAGAAATAATTTTTTGGAATAATTTTCCCTCCCAGTTTTGTGAGACACTTTTTTGCACCCAATGACAATATGGAATAAAAGTTAAACACTAATCTGTAAATAATTCATTAACTTTTATTAACACAAACCGATAATTCAGACTTATTTTGATGGAGATTATGGGACAATGATTATTATAACCAAACTATTGACCATTGTTATTATCATGGAAATGCTTTATCATCGTAATAAAAATATTTTTTTGATGATTCCATGAGTTTTCCAATCATTTTGCTGATATTTGTTTCACCTAAATCATCAAATAGTTGCTTTGTTTACAAACTTAAAGATGATCGTAATGACAATCATAACATTGACAGTAACAATTGAGATTAAAATGGAAGCAAAAATTGTAAACTTTGAGCCTTTTCTTCCCTGACATGAACAAAATGAATCTGAATCAGGAGAAAAATCATTTTAATCTGAAATCAATTTTGAAACCTTTTTTTCTGATCAAAGCGATAACACTTTAAATGGTAAATTGTGCAAAAACAAAAGTCAAACAATTTACACCTTTTTTGTATAATGACCATTTTCAGTGTTTTTATCATGCAATTGGAAAAGGGATGAAAAGTTAACAGGAAATTGAATTTCTTCATCCCAACCGGAATCCATCATAAATCAAAATTGGACAACAGAGGATGAAAGATTCATGGTGTGATGAGATGATAAGGAGAGAGAGAGAAGACAAAGTGAAATGAATTCAGTCGATGAACATGGCAAGATAAACAAGAGATGAACAAAGGTGTTGCTGGAAGAGTCAAGAGGCTTAACACTGGCTGATGGAAACCTGGCAAGACTAATATTACCACAAGAGCTGAAAGAATGATGAAAAATGGTGAAAGAGAAAAGATGATATTTTTTCCTTCCATCTTCTGAATCAAGCTGAATAATCACTTTGCTCTTTAAGAAGATGTAATGCTCACTGTCAACTGCAAATATGATAACATTTTTTTCTTCTTCTTCTTCTTCTTCCTCTTCTTCTGGACTTCTTCTTCCCTCAATTGTTCAGAGAGATTGAAAGATGATGAGAATCGAGAGAATCATAATGTTGCTGCTATTGTTGATGATGATGATGAGAAGGGAGGAAAAATGATTGGATGGTTGACTGAACATTGGTTACGTTTTATGTTCATAAATTCACTTGACCGTGTTAACTGTTATTGAAGTTTCAACAAGGAATTGACTTGATTCGTTTATATATATCATTATATTTAACTTGTTTGTCTTTCAGTACTGAGTAAACACAGTGAATCTGGTTCAACGATGAGAACAAGATGAAAAGATGAATTATCAGTTGAAGACAAAAGAATGTAAGGAAAATGATCATTTTGTGCAATTAAATTAATTAGCAATTGATTTTAGCAAAAGTCGATATTTGGGTGCAACAAAAAAGTGTCAGTCACTTGCGAGTTAGTTTTTTTTCGTTGATCGTTACCTTTGGTTTTGGCTTTGACAACCAATGAAGGTAAACCTTCACCGAGAATGTTTCTCGAGTAAACTTGAAATTCATATTCAGTATCTGGTTGAAGATAATATAATGTAAAAGTTGTTGAGCCTTCAGGATAAACTCGGATAGTTTTCCAATTGGTATCACCAGTGTCAACCATTCGATACCTGATAAAAGACGAGAAATTAAATTATCTGTGGACGAAGTAACCTCGAGGCTCGAGTTTGCAAGTTAAAGATCAACAAATTAAAAGCAAAGTTCAACATTTGATAATTCAATGAGAAACCATTTGCAAATTTTGTTTAAAGGCTAAACTGAAAGGTAAAAGGTTTGGAAAAGAAAATTGGGAAAAATTGAAAAATTGTTTCATCCATTTACTGACCATATCACGTAAGTTTGCTCATATCCACCATCATACGATGGTTGCCATGTAATTGTAGCTGCAAAGGCACTTGTATTGACGGATACATTTGTTGGTGCATGAGGTGTTGTACCTGGAAGAGGAACAGAAAAGTTGAGTTACTGTTTTTGCCAAAAGAATTGATAAACAATTTTAAAATTGATCATTAAGTTTTGATGAAACAAACAGAAACACTAGATAATGATAACATGATACAACGTTAGTTTACATTAAAGTTGTTTGTACAAGCATTTCATTATTGAGCCTTTCATTATTTTCATCAGTATTATTAATATTTATCTATTTTCTCTCTTCCTTTTTTGCACTCCCAGAGAATTGATATTTACTTGAATAAACTTGATTAAAATGAGCATTAATGAACATTTAGGAGAAACAAATACGTTAATGATGCTAATATTATTTCGTATTTAGTTTTTTCTCTCCTCGAACTTTTCCAATAATAAAAATGAAACTTTTCCCTAACCATTAGATGAGCATTTCAAAAGAGAAACAATGTTTCATGATAAGGACGAGAAACAAAATAATCAACATTTCCATCAAAACAATGATGGAATATAAATTTCAAGATATTCTTCGAAATTGAAACAAAAATTTATCGAAGAAAAATGAAGAAAAATTCAATATTAAATATTTAAAGATCAATAATTGAGTCAACTTGATCTTGCCTTTTCTGGTCAACTCGATCAGAGACCGATCAGAGACGATCGAACTCCGGTCAGAGATCTCGAGTTTCGCCTTTTTACACCTGGCTCATGTTATCTGAATACTTGAAGACATTGAGTTTACTCAGAGGCTCATTTTGATGAAAGTATTGAAAACGAAAATTGGCTTTCTATAAGTTTTTTAAGGTTACTGAAAATCACTACTAAGCCAGGTGAATATTGAATAAAGTAAAGCTCATTAACTATTAAAGGTGAAATTACAAAAAAAATGTAAATCCATAATTGAATTGAACCTTTCTTTTAGGATCAACCTTTGGTGAAAAAAAAGGAGTGAAAAAAATACAAATTTAGATAATCGTTAAATCAGTGATTCCACCAGACTTGAACATGAACATTGATGAGGAAAAATTGACAAGCAAAAAATGTATCATGAGAAAAGTGATTGCAACCAATATTTAAAGTTAATCGTTGAAAGTTCATCTCATGGGAGGCTCATCATGTAGCCAGAAAAGTAAGTGGTAAAGATAAGCCATAATTCAGAGTCAAATAATAGTTTAAATTGATAGTTTCAAATGGATGAGGAAAAATGGTGAAACAAAAAATGAAACAAAAAATGTCTCAACTGTAATAACGAAAATTATCAAAATGAAAAGATGAACAAGTTTCAATGGAAAGCAAATTTCATCTGATAACGAAGTCGATGTTGAACCGGTGAGTACTTACTGTCAACATTGAGTAAGGATGAGGTTACCAAAGTGGCTATTTCATTCTCGAGGACACATTCATATCGTCCATGATCTTCCTTTTTTATTGATTTGAGCGTTAAATTTCCTCCTCTGATGAAGGCTCTTTCCTTGGGTAACTTGGAGCCATCAGCCTATTGAAGCGCAAAGGGAAACAAGATGAAGATAATGATGAAAGAGGCAAAAACAAGGGCAAAATATTAAACCATTAGGGAAGGCAGAGGGAAGGGTAAAGGGATCAAGATTAAATGAACCTGAAGATGATGAAGAGAAAAGAGTAAAAACATTCAAAATTTGGATGAAGATAAAGTCGAGATAAAATGTCTTAACTTTACTTTCTTCTGTCAACCGTAAGAGGAGAAGAAGAAGAAGAAGAAGAAGATGAAAAAAGGAATAACAACTTCTTTTCCATTTCTTCTTGTTCTTCAGTTTCTTCTTTTTCCTTTCAACTCCCAATGAATTCTGCCAACAAAGTATATACAGTTTATCATTTGAGGGAAACAGGGAATGGATAATACAACAAGCGACATTTTCTTCTTCCTTTTTTCTTCTCTGTTTATTTTGTTCTTTCCTTTTCTTCATTTACTCAGCCTGTGAATACATCTTCAACATGAATTATTTCAATGTAGACAAAAGTTCTGAAAATGCTATCAACATTGGAAAATCGTTTTTGTTTCAACTTGATATGTTTAACCTGATCAATGATATTGAAAGGAAAAAATATTCATATTTACTCGATTCTGGAAATTCTCATCAAATGTTCATTTAAAGTTTAAATTAATGTTTAAAAGGTTAGAGGAAAATGTCAAAGGTTAATTTGAATGTTGAACTGAAATTTGGAGAAATTATTTTTTCTCCTCAAAATTGGATTACATTCAATAAACACTTATTGATGTTATTTGATGAATGCTTATGAAAGATGATTTCATTTGTAGAATTGATATTTAAAGGAAATCTTTTCTTCTCATAAAAAAGCAAATCTGAGTCTTGATTATCATCATGAGCATCATCAAGATTATTGTTATAAACCTCTCAATAAGAATGAAGTTCTTGAACAAGTATTCAAAATAGTTTTCACTCGAAAAGCTTTCCATTAACCTAGACAATTGATTGATAATCATTTTTCCCTTTATCTTGTTCAACCTTGCAGTTTACATATTGTTCAACTGATGAGTATCGCAACAAGATGATGAAAACAAAAGGTAAATTGAAATTTTGTGAAAAAGTCATTTTCTTGTTCAGATAAATTCATTATTTTTTATCTACTTTGCATTCACAACTTAACTCCACTTAACCTCGCTTGATTATCAACAATACAAATTGTCACACAATTTTCGTTATCCATAAATCTTTACTTGATCCTCTTTTCGCGTTTCAAGTTATAAATCAGAAAAGGTGAGAAGAGATGAGACAAAAAATTGAATGCTAAAAAAGACAGACAAACTCAATCAAACTATTAATTTAACTGTCATTTGTACTTCACTTTCAGCTTGTTCATTGACATTGAAGCATTCAATGAATCGCGATGCAAAGGAAAACACTTTTCCTCATTAAAAATAGCAAAAAAAGAACGTCATTTTTTAGTCAAGTTTACACTAAATTCAAGTGCTTTCAAGATACTCAAGTATCATAGTTGATTGGGAGTAAAAAAGTTATCACGGAATAACCAAAATGACATTCAATGAGTTATCTGGTTCAATGGGTTCATCAAATCAAAGTCGCTAATTTCGTTCATAAAATTATTTATATTTTTAGACCAAATTAGAAAATCGTAAATTGAGATTCTTCTGTAACTTTCAGTTCGCAGCACTTAGCATTTACACATTTTACAACGAAAATTGCGTCAAGAGTCGAACACGAAATTTTTGAATTGAAACGAAAAACTCGAATAATTAGATCTTCCAAACATAACTTGAAATGTCCAGAAGAACGAAATTAATTTAGTTTTTCAAAAAGTAACTTAATGAATGCTAAGTTGAACGAATGCAAAACTTTTGCACGAACATCTATGAATGCATCTTAAGGTGCTTTTGAATGAACGAGAAAAAGTCAAGAATTTAGATGAAAAAGTTTTCTAAATTGTCATGAATTAAAATTAGATTAAAAGTTGAACTTTGAAAATATCAAAATCGATGAGAGTAAAATTTAAACTTCAAGTTTTCCTTTTTTCGCAGTTGAGTAAATGCTGCAAAGTTTCACCATTTTCACTCTTTTTAAATCCCAAAATTTATCAAATGAAAAATATCATTAAAAAGATGAAAACAGAAACAGATAAAGTAGAGTTTACAAGCAGCTTCCAGTTGTAATTCAATTTCAAGTCCCACCAATCTGAGCAATATTTTTCTTCTCCATTCCTTTCACAGTTACCAAATTTTTAGCCATTGATATTTTATCTGCAATTTTTCTTGCCTTTCCCATAATGAAAGATGAGCAGGGAATAGGAAGCAAAAAAATTACACTGTAAATGCAATGATACAGATTATAACAAAGTTACCAGTTTTTTTGTATTTTTTGCCCTTTTCTGCTCTTCTTCTGTACATTCTTTCAACATCAATCGTTACACATTCTCACATTCACATCATCATTTCCATCGTTTTTCAGTTGCACAGATAAAAGATGAAGAGAAGAGGGAAGAAGAAAAAAGATTCAGTGGAAAATGAACGAAGCTAAAGTTGAAAAAAAGGAGCAACTTGAATCTAAAGATTTAACGAAGGATGAAAGATAAAATGATGTTGATGAGGAATGAACCAAGAGAGAGAGAGAAGAGTTGAAAAAATGGAAAGTTCATTGAAATGGAGAATCAACTGAGGAAAAAAAGACAAAAAAAAGTCAACTAACATGGAATGAGGTAAATGAAATGAGGATAAATGTGATGAAAAATTTGCACCAGAAAAAGGGTTTTATAATGACAGTTGCAGGAGGAGAAAACAAATAAACAAGAAAATTGAAACTGAACTTTCAAGACAATAATCATATTGTAATGTGAAATAAATTACAAGGCAAATGGTTATAAACAAGTGAAGGCAAAAATGGATTCAAATGAAACTTTACATGAGATTGAAGGCAAATCAAATTCAACATCAAATCGACAAAATTTGATGCAAAAATAGATTAAATGTTAAGTGAAAAAGGTTGAAAATCGAGGCCAAAAGATTTGCCGATTCAATGAGAAAATTTGAATAAATTGAATTCTTGACTGAAAATATGTTCAATAGATTTTTTGTTTTCTGAAAGTTTTTCAATTTTTTCGATTCTATTTTTAGTGTCACTTTATGAGCGATCTTTTGATTCCCAGAGTCTAGGTCAGTACATTGTCACGTAATGTTGGGTTAACAATGAATATGGTTTTAACCTTAACTGGGTCACATTTTGATTCACAATTTGTCAGATGAAAGAAGGAAAGGATAAAAATAGGACAAGAATTGGCTTTGGGTTAATGATGACGATCATGATGATGCTGATTATTTCTCATTAACATAATGTTACTGGCAAGATGAACATGTAAAGACATTTACGTCAGAACAATGGTTATATTGTCTGTTGTTTTCATCCATCAACTGATATTTACCAAAATACTTTTGTTTCGTTCGCCATCCAATAATATTTACATGCATTATAATCATGATAATGATTATCAATTGAAAATGAACCAATTTTTCAATTATTAATATCAACCAGAGAAGCAAAAAAGTAAACTTCAACTTTCAAAGTAAATATTCATAATCATTCAACTCGCACTCATTCAATTCATCATCTACTGGGAATTTTATATCTACTTTTTGTACGTTTAGAATTCCAGTTTGCTTTTATTGATTAATGAAATGAAATGAAACAAAAAATTTTTCGTTATTTTTGTCTGGAATCCTCAAATTTGAGATCGAAACAAATGAATTATTGAAAAATGGAAAAGTGAATTAATAATTTTACTTCACTAAATTGATACAAATTTTATTGGACAATCATTTTTGCAAATATTGCAATGAAACACTTTCAGATTGGGACTGAAATTTTGCAAAATAAGAACGAGTATATCAATGGGTTTTATTGCTCAAACTTTGCTCGTGACTTTGCATGAACTTTTATTATCGGCATATAAGTTTCTAAGTTACCTGTTCTGCTCAGTCGTGTATTCAGCTTACCCATTTTGAAAAATCTCTTTTTGATTTCTTGTAAACAGGTTTTCAGACTAACGACAGAAATTACACAAAAATGAAGCCAACATTGAATCGAAATAAATAAGATACGATTTTAGCGATCGTCTGACCAAGTTTAATATAACTTTTATCAATTCACCAAAAACATGAGACATTTCGTGGTTCACATCCCAGCATCGCTGCACAAAACAGACTGAAATATCTTTCTCTTTATCTATTGTCTAAATCTAAATTCAGAAAAGTGTTAGACTATCAGATTTAATATCAACTCTATTGATGAATGCAAATCATCAGATTCAGCAATAAATACCTTGTAACCTGTGTGGAAAAATTATGTTTTAAATTGTTCATTCTTCGTTTATTTGATTAATAATTGATCAATATTTTCAAAGTTGGTCTCTATTGATAGCCAGGGATCAGAGGCTCTTTTGCATGTAAGATAATCCTTTCTAATCCGTCTCGTTCATTTTAAATTTGAGATTAGCCACGAGGCTTTCAAAATAGCTAGCATTGAATTTTTTGAGATTATTTTTGATTCTTTGGTTAATTGCTCGGAATTCTGAGTGACAAATCGACCCGAATTAACACAATTATTTAATTGACCCTTAAAGTTTCAATTTGTGTTAATTTTGGAACTTTATGCTTTTAAAACGCCCCGCAGTGTAAGTTTGAAAAATTATTGGAAATTTTTGTTGAATTTTACGAGCATTTTCGATCATTTCAAAAAATCGTAAATGTTGGATAACTTTTGAACCATAATACGGATCGATATCAGATTTAAATCCAGTATTGACGCAAATCTGATCCCTATTTCCTAAAAATTTCAGGCTTGTAGCTATAAAACTTAATAGGAATTCCAATCAAACTATTTGTAACATAATTTTTCCTCACAGGTTACAAATATCTTTTCGCTTGCATTCGAGTTTTGGATTTGATTCTAATACTACTTCGGTATTTAAAAATGAAAATTACAGAATAGGATAATATTATTGGTGATGGCTAAAACTTTATTGATGTGCCATTCATTAGTCGACTGCGAATGAATGTAATCTCGGCTAAAATGGGCAAATAAACGCATTCAATTTTATACAGTTTTGAAGCATTTGAATGTGCCAACGATTCAAGTTTGACACTTAAGATGTTTGGTGGTTCCTTTTATTGCATTCATTTGTAATTAGAAATTTTATTCTTTCCAAAGTTAATCTTGCAAAGGTGAGTATGGAGGGAATGAGATTAGTTTCAAATGATAATTGGGATTTGATGAGAGGAAAGTATAAAGTCAAAGGGATTTACCTTTCGCCAACTAATTGTTGGCTTGGGTTGACCAACTCCTTCACAAGGCATTTTAACTTCACTGTTTACTGATTGTTGATAAGCTTCCTTGGGTTTCAATGTGAATAATGGAGGTTCTGTAATGAAATGACCAAAAAGCAAAAGCATTAGATTATTATTGCGGTTTCATTGTAACCAAAGTTTGATTACATTTTGTTACGATCAGCAGTAAAGATTCAACATTCAAAGTTCAACTCAAAACAGAATGAAAGATTGTCCAAAAACAGAATCGATAGCATTTAATCGACTCAACTAGACATGGTTATCGATGGAAATTTAAATTCAAGTGAAGATCTATTCTGTTGCAACAACAAGAAAACTAAATTTGTAAAGAAACAAAATTATAAAATACATTTCCATATGATAATTGGCTTGTTGGATATCATGTAAATGCTGATGAATACATCAACAGATTTTAGACTGAGAAAGTTGGAAGAAAAGAAGAGAAAAGTTTTCTTTACCTTTTCTAGTTAACAAGAAAAAGTAACAAAAATAATGGTAATAATGATGAAGGTGATATTGTTGGAGCAAGATATTCATAAGTATAATCATTTGAATGACATGAGTTATCATTCACGCTCAACGAAACATTCAACTGTCAAACAAAATATCATGATTGGTAGAAGTATTTTTAGCACAATTCATGATATTCTGATAGTGCATTTTGTCATTAGTTTTGTGCAGATATACGAACAAAATTGTTCACATTTTAAATGAAACTTTTCGATTGAAACGAATTTTACACATGAACAAATTCAATGCATTTTTCGACGAAAATTTCGTCACTCGACCTTTAAAGTTCATAGGAACAAGCAAAATCCAAGATTTATCAACTGATTTGAAATTTGCAACAAAATTATTTTTAGTCAAAAAATCGAAAATTGAGTCGAACATTAGAAATCGAATATTGAGGGAAATTTGGACATTTTACTTCGAAATGCGATCCATTTTTTATAATGCTTTCAAATGAGATTGGGTTGCATATTTTGATAAACATATATGAAAAGTTTTCGTTGAAAGTTCGGAACATTACGCTTTGGATAAAATTACTTGTTCAACTATTGACAATTTTTTGATTCAATGCCAAGAATTCATGTAATCAATATTGTTGAACCATGAGAATGAATAATATTGTAAAAAGATAATGTAAATTCAAAATAGTTTTCGAATTAATTTTGTGTCAAATCGAGAAAAGGAAAGATGATTTATGAACACAACAAAGTATGCAAATCAATAGTTACAAATGCTAATAAACAATAAATTCAACGTAAGCTAATCAGAAGCCTAATTCCGTCTCAAGTAACTCAACACTCAACCATAATAAACATTAATCCATATTCAAAGTCAAGATCAACAACAAAACTTGAAACCATTTGTTGGTGAAATTAAGAGTAAAAACAAAATGACAAAAAAAGGAAACATTAAAATATATTTATCTAAGAATGAGTAATCCAAGGATCGATATTTGCATGATAATATCAAAAGAAAGGACAGAATCTAATCGAAATTCTTCCAAAAAATCAAAAGTATTAAATGCGCTTTGAAAAGCTTTCCTCAAATCCATAATATTGAATAAGTGATTCTTTAATTTTGGCAGCAGATCAAATTGTCCAAAATATTGCGAAAAAGCCTTTAATGGTCAATATCATGAACAGTTTTGAATAATGATATTTCAAGATAAACTCTGTTGACACTAAACGGTAATCAAATGATTTGAAAAATGGTCCAAAAACAGTTTTGCTCTCAATTTTTGTGCAACATTTTGATAAACTCCGAGAGCCTGGAGCAGTTTCTTATCCTCATCTTTCATTTACCTATCATCATCACCACATCATTTTTCCAGTTATTATCTAAGTTCTGTCTTGTTTATAATTTCCTGTTAACTCACTTTTTCCCTCTTTCATTATTACTATCTTTTGGGTTACTTTATTTTTCTTCACCCATTTTCATCATCATTATCTTTCAATGAATAAATTTCCATTCCCAGCATCATTCCCTTTCCATTCTTACAAATTCCCTGTCTTTCTGTTTCTTCTCTCTTTTTTTATCTAATGGATTTTGATCGATTATCATTTTAACATTTAATATCTTGGTTCGACCTCGTTTGGAATGAACCAAGAAATATCAGTTTGCGCTTGAGCATTCAAATTCTGGTTAACATCATTGAGCTTTTATTTTTAGCCTTTCACTTTCAACTTTCATCTTATTTCACATTTTTCATTATCAAACCAACATTGTTCAATTTTCAATGTTTAAACGATTTAATGATTAAAAACAAAAAGAAGCAAAAAGAGTGAACAAATGTAGTGATCAACGAAAATTTAACACAAATGTAAAAAGCAAATTAACTACAAAGAATTTCATCGTTGAAGTATGGCCAGTTTGAAAATTTACAACTCTAACGATCGTAAACTGGGAAGCTTCCCCGTTTGAGATCTCACTTTGGGTCTCACTGAAGGTCTCGTCACGAGCCTTCTATTGCGATCAAATGTTTGAGAAAAACAAAACGATTAAGAAGGAAAGGTTAATCCGGAAGGGTCAAGGAAAGATTGTTAATTCTGTTGAAGAAAAGATTATTTTGGGAGCTCAATCTGAGAATAAAGGGTCAAGACAGCGAAAGCCAAAACAAAAAAGGTCTAATAGCAAAGGGTAAAATGAAGAAGCTAAATAATGAAACTGATTAAAGTATTTTCTGAAAATTAAACACAATGCTTTGATTGTCATAAACTGAATTGGATCGAATATTTCACTTAGTTTGCATTTTTTTTGATTTTTTCATTCAAATATATATCAATCAAATTCTTTTCTCGATCATGGCTAATTACGAACTGATGTAATTCAAGAAAAGGGAAAATTTTTGCTTTACACAGCAATGAGCGCATCGATATTTTTCGTGTGTTTGAATTCCTCTATTTTGCTTTCGATGTTTTGTCGTTCTCGGTTTTGAGCCAAACCCAATATGAGAGCTCAAAATGATTGCTATTTCTGTTTATCATTAGGAGCTTGGCTATTACAAAAAATGCCTTAGCACTCATCCAGAGATGAAAAGTCTTGAATAGCTTTTTGGTTAAAGACAAAGTTGACCCGAAAAAGTAAACTTTAATGAACGTTGATTACTAAGGTTAACTCAATTGGCAACCCAAAGTTGCCAATGAAATAAAGTATATATTTATATACAGAGGAAAGGCTTAAAGAGTTATAATGTTTCATGTTGCGAGTGATTCAAGTTACAGTTAAGGTTGCAATTTAATTACAATTTTACCCGTGATTTTATCCATTTTTTTCGTCTTCTTTCTTCTTTCCTTTTCTCTCTGTACACTTTGTCAATTGATTGGTCACAATCAAATTGAAGTGGATAATTATCCTGAGACTTGAAGACAACAGCAACAAGAAACTTGGAACAGCTTCAGTGAACATTAACTTATTGGCTTGATCACAACAAGGAAAAACTCAATTGATTGGAGAAGAAAAGAAGAATCGCGATTTTGCAGGAGAAGAAGAAAAAGAGGGAAAAATAAAAGAGTAATGGAATCAAGATATAATAATGAAAAAAAGAAGATAAAAGATGATGCTGATGAAGAAAAAGAAGCCAAAGCTGACGAAAAACACACAAAAAAGATTGTTGCTTCTAATTGAATTTTCAGTTTCCTTTTCCGTTTTTTCTTGTTCTCTTTTCTTATCATTTTTACACCAAATCTTTACTTTACCATTTGGGCAAAGAAAGAGTTAACTCAAGAAGGAAGTTCAACTGAATTTAGGCCAGAAAACATCATATTCATCAGTCTGTCTAATCTCGAGTCTTTATCTTGTTCAATGAGAAGAGCAAACTTCATTCCATGTTAAACTTTGCTTCGACTTTCAATTTCTTGATCAAGAATCAGAACGAAACATTTTTCATCTTTTCATGAATGGATAAAGTTTCAAAAATTAAATGATTAACTCATAATCAGTGTCGAATTTGTGAAAAAATTTATCATGAAAACTGAAATGAATTTACATATTTTTCGCTTCAACTTTTTTGAATAAAGTAAATTATCAATGAATATTGAGATGAAGTGATATATAAAAATTTGACTCCATGATTTAAAAGGGAATAAAGTTGCTCAAATATGTTATGAAATTTTCATCTTCAGAATATCTTACAATGTTCTGATTTTCAACTTCATAACGGAAATTGAATTTCCGAGTTTACTTTGTATTCAGAAAAAGTATAAAAAATATTGCTAAAATAACTAATAAAGGTTGAGTCTTTCAACATCAGATAAGTAGCGATAGAATCAAAGTTTCTGATTCCAATCACTTCCATCAATTATCGCCAAATAATGAAGAGACAAAAATCGTTCGAAAGTTTCGATAAAAAATGCGTTTTCAAGAAAATTGAACTTCTTAATCTGGATCACAAAGGTTTTTTTTCAAATTAACTTTGATTCGTTTTGAGCAATCATTTTCTGAGTTTCTTTCAACTTTCAATGTTGAACTTGAATGAACTTCTCTTACCTCGAACAAGAACTTCCATAACATTGGACGTTCCAGCTGTTCCATGAATGTTATAAGGTGTACAACGATAGCGACCCTGATGTTCATTGGTAACTCTTTGGAACAAAAGCGATCCATTGTTCAATGAGACAACACCGGGTAAATTGTTGGGTTCAAATGGACGTCGATCTTTGGTCCAAGTGATGAACTGAAAGGGAGGATTGGCTTGGACAAAACATCTAACTATACCAGAGAGGCCTAAAGGAAGGTATTGAATGGTTGGTGAATAGGTCACTCGAGCGGGATCTATATTGGTAAAGAAAGAAACACAAAAAAACGAGATTAGACGCAAATAGACATCAACATGGCCATTATCGGAGTAATCATTATTGAATGTAAAAAGTTTGCTCTTTTCATTGCCATTCTTGTTGCTCATTACTACCATTATCAGCGAGAAGAAAAGCAAGAAAAGAGCAAACTTTTATTCTCATGTTAAGCCATAGGTTTTGATTCAATTCTCAACGCTCATCATTATGAAGTAGAAAAGGAACCCAAAATAATAATAATGATGATGATTATCGGAAGTTAAATAAGAAATGATAAAAAAAGAGACTGAACAAGAGCAAAGGTATTTCCATTATTTTTTTGTGTCATCATTCATCCTTATTAATAATATGTGAAGAAATGATGGAGAAGAAGAAGCAAAAAAGGATTGTATGAGAGCAATGATAATAGATTCTGGAGGGAAGAAGAAAATCAGATATTCTGATAAACATTTTCTATTATTATTTTCATTATTATTATAGTGATTCTTTAATACTATTATCACATTTACATTTGCCATTGAATAAGTTTCTGCTCATCAAAAAGTGATCTTTCCACTTGTAATGTTCATTTGATTGGTAATAATGTTTGGCTCAATACTTACACTCGACGGTTAAATAGGCAAATGCAGTTTCAGGCGATCCAATACCGTTAAACACTTTACATGTGTATTGACCTGAATCTTCGGCTGAAGTTGGATTAATCAATAGAGTTCCATCACGCTTAATTATTGTCCTTGTATCCAACCAAGACAATTCACTAATATCAACATTGTTGTGAAACCATTGATAAGTTACATTGGAAGGTAAGGCTTTGGCTTCACAGGTAAATTCCGCCTTATCACCTTCTAATTTGGTTAAATTTCGAGGTGGCACAGTAATCACAGCGGATCCAGCGACAATTACTTTGGCCGTGGTCGTCACTGATCCTTCACGGTTCCTAGCCATGCATAAATAATCACCAATGTCACTTTGCTTTAAACTTGAGATTCGAAGTTCATTAGCTAATATTTCAATAGATGAGCTTGCTTCTAAAGGTGAATTGTCCTGCAATGAGAGAAACAGAAAAAGATTAAATTTCAATTCAGTTCAATTCAACTCTTTACAACATGTTTACCATGTTTATCCAGACAATCTGTTTTGTTTTTAATTTTGTTGACATTATTCGTTGATATTCAATGAAACAGTAACTACAGTAATCAGGTTAACTTGCAACATTTCCATTCAACTGAAATTCAATTTCGAAATTAATCAATTCATGAAACATTGACATTTCATTGTTGATATTAAAACTCTTGTAAAGCTTCGAAATTTTGGCTTAAGTTGAACGCATCAAAGCCAATTATGATGAATAAGAAGAAATCAAGTTTACTCAGTTTCGTCACAAGATCAACTAAAGCTCATGATTTAATCATTATGGATATAAAGTGTAAACAGTCAATTTAGATTTTCAACATTTTCCGAAAATTCTCATGCGAAACTCATTGATATCAATCGAAATTTCAAGGCTCGCAGATATTCTCACATTCAATTTCAACTTGCCAATCAAGATTTCCTGAATAAGTTCAACAGTTGAATCGTCTCTAATCATGAAAAAATTAATCCTTGAATAATCGAGGAATTAGCGTGAAAAGGCTAAAAATAGAAGGATGAAAATCTGATAATTCAGTTTTACGATTTAATGAGCAGAATAACCTTTGTTGATTTAAAAAAAATGAATTTCTTTTGGAAATATCATGAAGAATATTTTACACTTGAATTGAAATGAAAAGCAAAAATAATTAAATTCAATTTCGAAGCTATTTTTAGTAAAATTTGGATAATCTTGAACTGAATAATCAACTTTGAATCTGAAATGGCGAGAATTGCAAAACTAAGAGATTTATCAAGTCAAGAGGGTTTCAGGTATGAAAAAATATAATTTATCTGAAAGCCTTAACCTTAAGTGGGTCAAGAAGAAGAAAAAAGATGCAAGAATAGAAGCATTAATGGAATATGAAAAAAGAGAATTTTCCAGGGTTTCGAAGATCATGAAGATAGAAAAAGGTTGACTAAGATGAAAGGAAATGTTGAGGAATATTTCAAGAGTAAATGTCATTGACATGGTAAAAGTGTAATGGTTGAGGTAGATTATGATATTAAAAGTGTGTAACCAGTAAAGGCTCAACTTACCTTATACCAGATAAGCGTTGGAGCAGGAGTTCCAGCAGCTTCACAGGGCAGTGATAAAAACTCACCAACCTTCACGTAAACCACATCAGGAGGTTTAACTTTGAAATGCGGTGGAGCTGTTCAGCAATCATGAGCCATTCATTGGGATTCATTATCGTCAAATTGCAGATGATAAAAGTGAAAGTAAAAACAATAAAAAAGGTAAAAATGAGTACAATTATGATAACAATAAAAGCGCATAATTACAGCATTACAACCATCTTCATCACAACCATTATCATGATAGTGTTTCCAGTTGAACATTATGATATCCACTTCAAGCAACATTGTAACCTTGAAGAAAATTTGTCCGTTTCAGCTTCAGAACTTTATTCAGATTCAGGGAAAATTGTGTTTAACAATTTGATGAAAATGCTCTTGCGAAATGTTTGGCTACAGTTTTAGTTGGAAATCGTGTTCAGTGTTTGATTCGTTTCATTCAATTGATTAAATACAATTTGAGGTAAAAAATATGATGAAAGACGAATGCGAAAAATAACATTTTACATGTTTAAAGCTTGTTATCTTGAAATGGAGCAAAGCATGAAACGAAAATGAAATCAATATGAAAAAACATGCAAAATTGGATATCATAATACAATTTTATGCAAATAAACTTTTCGATTGCAACATTTGCAAACAGTTGAAGGCAAATACAAGTTGAGCCAAAAATGCCAATCAATATTGAAGCGAATGCGAATGAAAAGACTTTTGTTTTACACTTCGCTTAAAAACAGCTTCAAACAGCTATTTCGAATGGAATAAGAACGAATCGTTTGAACTTATCTATTAGCTGCTGAAACTTTCGACGAAAACTTTGATCATTTTTTGGTTCATTTTTAAAGTGAAATCAATTAAATGACGATTCTTTACATTCTTTCAATTCGATTCAAAGATTGTGATTCAATGTTTAATATCAGCAAATCTTTATCTGAAGATACAATTGCTCTTCTTTAATGGATACTTGAAATTAAACCCAAAAGTTGCATAAAAATTGTTATCCTGTTTTACTTTGTATTATTTTTGCATAAGTTAACATTTAAACCCAAAAATGTCTACATTGAGATGAAATTACGACCCAAAAAAGTAACTCTAAATGTTTAAAACTAATGGTTAAACTTTTTTACTTGAAATGGTTACCTGTTTCAAGCCGAGTTTCAATTGTTAACATTTTATTTGGTTAAGTTTTCCTAATGAAAATGCCATTGTATTATTGTATTATTATATTTATAATAAGTAAATACAATGATCAAAACTAGATAGATTTGAATAAAGTTAGACAAAATATTTATGAGCATAATAAATTAACATTCATTTGATGCAAAACTGTTTCCCAACTTAAGGCTTACAATCGTTTTCGATCTATTTTTGTACTCGAAAATGTTGAACCGTTCATCCTTATTAGCCATTTGTTTCAACCTTTCACAACCTTTGTACTCTCTTCTGGTAACAGCCTTTCAAACAATATTTTGTTTCCAATTTTAAGTTAATATTTTTCACTCCCAGCCATTCACAGGTTCACATTATTGCTGGGAATTACAGTTGTTACAAGATAAAAACTATCGATCCAAGACTTTATCATGTTGCGAAATTTCAATGGCAAATTTGAAACAATTTGTCAATCAATTAACAATCGAATTTGAGATTTTTAGAATTTCATCAAAATTTCAATTGATGAGGAGCAACTTCAACATGATTCAATATTTGAATTATAGCTTTTTGTCCTTTGCTATGAAAAAAGTTCATGTTTGAATATTGGTTTCATTTAATGTATCATTTTTGCTCATCTAATAACAATGCAAAGGACATTTTCATATCTTTCAACTGCCAGTAACATTTAAATTGAGTAAAAAAGGAATCGACAGAGTTTTTCATTGACTAAATTGTATGCTTAAAACTAAATATAACTTGACATTTTCTCACTATTCATCATATTCAATGATATTATTAGAGAAGCTTAGATAATTTGATATAAAAATACAAAGCAATTGCAACTGCCAATGAAAAGATATTTTGTCCAATCCAATAATCAAAAGGATTCTCGGCGATAACTGTCAACTTTTCAGATTCACAGATCAACAAATCCAATCAAATCAACTCATAAATAAGACATATTGTATTATTTATCATTTATTGATTGGCAAAAGAATCAATCAAACAAAGTCGCAAATTTACAAGAAAATGAATGTTACCGAATGAATTCCTACGCAAAAATCGTAAAAATAACGAGCAAAAAAGTTACAAATAGGAAAAAATTGAAGCACGAACATTTCAAGTTGATTAGAAGAGTGAACGAATTTTGCTTCAAATGAACATTTCTGTGTTTTCTGTGAAATCGAGACTCAATAATAATCGGATGCTCCACATTTTGGCGAGCGATCGTCTGACCTATTAGCTCATCATTCAGTACCTCAATGCGATTGTTGAATCAAAATCTTTAAAGAAATTTCTGAATGAAAATTTAAACATTTCTCAGCATTCAACTTTGAACTGTAAACTCGTCATTTTCATTGTGTGCTTTCGTTGTTACTTTGAATTAAAATTGAGATGAAAATGTTGTTTAAAAATTGATTTGTTTCTTCTTTTAAATTGAAACTTTTCCTTTTTTCATGTAACATTAGAATCTGAATTAAAATGGAATCATTTTCATTGAAAAACTTTTCATTTTCAGAATTTATTAGTCTGAACTTGTTCAAAGAGTGAGAATGAAAATCTGAGAAATGTACAGAAAATAAAAAAGCAGATGAAAAGGTGAACCAAAGAGTAAAATGAAAAAGTTTCAAAAAACTCATTGGTATTATTAAGGTGTTATTAGCAGAGAATCTTGAACAAATTTTATTCCCTCAATTGAATCTTTTTTTCTTCAGTTCAATCTTTTTCTTTATCTGGTTTCATCATTTCAACATTACAATGAAAGTATAAAAGTGAACCTTTTCGAAGAAAAAGGTACAAAAAGAAAACAAAATTTTGGTGCAAAAAAAAAGGTGTTCAGTGAATCGAGAAAAAAGCGTAATTGTCAATTCATAATATTAACAAGCAAAAGGTAAAAGAAAGTTGGAGAAAAATGTTGATCAAAATGTTGCCAGAATTGATAATTATGTTGAGAAGGAGAAGAAAAAATTCATTTTGTTTTCTCATTGCTTGATGTTTGAAACAATTTATTAAAATGTGAAAATTAACATTTGCTTCATTTATATTTTTCAGCTTCTTCCAAGTTCACAAAATGCATTTCATGAAAAATAAGAAGTAATAAGAAGTGAAAAAAGCCTCCAAGCAACTTTGCCACTATTATCTGCTAAACATTTATCATGCATTTGCTTTGAAATGTTTAGAAATATTCTGAAAGCATGAAAAGTAAACGAAAAAATTGATGCGGTCAAGACATTATCATCATCATTACTGTGACAAAGTTGTCTGAAAAGGCCATTTTAATGATCGTGCAGTTTAATACAATAATGACTTACAATTTTTTATTTGAAAAAGCATTCAAAACTGAATGTTTCTGAGATTGAGTAAAGATCAAAGATTTCATTCTGAGAAAATTCAGATTTCTATTTAAAATTGAATTTCAACATTTTCATTCTCAGCGATTTACTCTTATTTTGTTCAACTTCATCGCAAACATGCAAATGCGTTTAAACACAATGCTCAAAATTTCAATTTTAGTCAACATCTTTTATCCGGGAAAATCTGAAATCTTCAATATCAACATTTCAAAGTCCAAAGTCATTGTTTTGTATTAATTCACAAAACGCGATTCAATGATATTCCTTGATATTCAAATGAATTTATCTAATGGAACTTAAGAAATGTATCATTTATCAATAGCTGAAATAAAAAGGAAACTCAGGAAACGTCGTAAGGAACATTGAAGTACTTTAAGAGTCGAATTATTATTAATATCAAAGCATTCTTTTGAATACACAATTCGAATAGACAAAATTTTTCAAGATTGTTCAGGGAAATGACATTCCATCAATTGTATCATTGCAACTTTATCATTTTGAATAACACTTTTGGACCGAAGAATCAGCCCTTTATTATCTAACATTATAAACAATTTTTCTCGCAATTATCTTCACTGAATAAAAAAAGTGAAGAAAAATCATCTTCAACTATAATAATGTCATACTTTTAATAAATGGAAGCGAAGAGTAAATTGCAAGTTGAAAATTGCAGATTGACGCCCAAGGGTATTTACAGGTGAATAAGAAGCTTGAGAAATGAGTCTTTTCATCCATCTTCATGGTTTGGATTGAGAGGAAAAAATGATCTAAATTAACAAGGAAAATGCAAGTCAACAAACCAAGTTGAGGAATAAATCAACAGTAAATAATAAATAAACCCAAAGACTGTAATCTCACCTAGACTAGCAAATTAAGCTCAAAATCAATAATCGAACGAACACTTCATTGACCGTTTTCCTAACTCAACTCGCTTCTCGACTTTTCAACTTTTCTGCAATTCGATTGCGATTTATTTGGTTCTAATAAGCCTTCATCAAGAGACGCTCTAAATGCAAGTAAAAGGCATTTTGCATTATTATTGTGCTCACATTGAGCTGAATTGAAGCTTCCATGAGAAGCTAAAAAATCAGTTCTGCTAATGATGAATAAGATGACCATTGATGAGAAGCATTATGGTCATTATTATTGATGAAGGAGAAGTTGAAGTACATTAGAACTGTGAAAAATGAAGGGAACAAGAAGAAAAGGAAAAACAACAAACGCATTCATTGTGATGACATTTTTTTCCACTTTTATCATGTTTTTGCTGCTCTTGTTATTGCTTTTATTTCCAATGTTAGTTTAATGTTATGTCGAAGGCTAATCGACAATCGATACACAAAACATGTCCACAATAACAAAAGCATCCGAGTCTTTATTTTTAGACCATTTTGGGCTCTTCTATTTTCATCTTATGAGAGAGAAAAGATACTCATTTTGGACTGATTCTAATGGAGATGCTATGTAAACGGAAGTTTCCTTACCTCTTCATTGGCCTTTCTTAAGTGTACAGCCATTTTGAGCAGCAAAAAAATGACCCAAAACTTGGCAAATTTGGGCAAAACTTTCTC